GATCAATCACCTGATAAGATTTAAAATTATTCAAAATTGCAATTAAATTTTTTATCTAATCTTTAATTGGCAGAACTAAATCAAAAAGGAATGTCACAAATAGATTTTGGAGATGAATTTTAGATAGATTAATTTAAAATAAGAAAAGTTATATATAAAAAAGAAGAATAAAGTCCTGATAGTTCCAAGAAATTAATATATAATTTAAATTAGAATGAGAAACCAAATAAAAAATTAAAATATCAATAACAATTTTTTTAAACATTCACAACAAAAAATGATGAATCAGTTATTAAAAAATAATATACAGCAGATATTGCTTTGCTTGTTTAATTAAGACATTAACCTTATTTATTGTAAAAAAAGAAACAAACAAAATTATCATCAAATAGAATAAGTATAAATAAACCTTCAACACCAACAAGTGGTAAAATGTCATTTGAATAAATGCTTAAAGAAAATACTTATTAAAAAAATCATGGATAATCTCCCTCTACAATGTAACATGAAATGAAGTTTTTAATTCACGTTATAGAAGATTATAAATTGTTTAATGATGATGATGAATTATAGCTATTTTATTTATAGGAATTAAATCCAGTTCTATTATAAACAAGCTTGAAAAAATTAGAATCTGTTAAAAAGAATTTGTTAAGATCAATTTCACATGAATTATTGACTAATTTAAATGCTGCTTATGGTTATATAAAATAATGTTAAGATAGATTATTAAAAGGTGAAGAAATGTAAGAATAATTGGCTTGTGCATTGAGATACACTAAATTGTAATTATTTAAAGTTTAAGACTTTTTTGATTATAGATATTTATTAGATGATAAATTAAAATTAAGAGAAGATAAATTTGAATTAATTAATGCAATTACAGAATGTGTTGATTTAATTAAAGATCAAATATCAAGAAAATAATTGAGTTATGAATTAGATATTCCAGATAATTGTACTTACATAATATAAGGAGATAGATAAAGATTTTGTTAAGTTATTTTAAATTTATTAACTAATGCCATTAAATTTACTTTACATGGAGGAATTACAGTTGAAGTGAAGAAAAAAAAATATATTCCTTCTTGTTTTGGTATAATAGATGAAGTTTAATCTTAAATCTATTTGGAAGATCCTAATTTATTGGAAATCCATATCAAAGATAGTGGAGTAGGTATGGATGAAGATGAATTAGTAACATTAAGAAAAAAGGTATTATTTTTATACATAAATTAATTAGTTACATGTTGCAGATGAAGATGAAAAGGTTTCAAAATAATCAGTAGGTATAGGATTAGGTTTATAAGTATGTAAATCTATTATTCGTTAATTGGCACCTTCTCATTTTAATTTATTATTTGTAGAATCAGTTAAAGATAGTGGATCCTAATTTTATTTTTGTTTAAAGTATTTAGAGGAAAAATCTTCAATTTAAAAGTCATAATAATTAACAATACCATTGTAAGAAGCTTAGAGTGCTTCTGTTAAAGTTTTGAATTATAAAAAAGGGCATTCTTAAAATGGAATAAATTTCTTTAAGAAATGTAATTCACATGATATCTCAATTGAAATTCCAAAAAAAAAATAATTTTAATGTAATTGCTAAACTATTTTAATTGTTGATGATGAATAATTTAATATTGATATAGTTGGTTTCATTATAAAACAAATGGGATTTGAAATTGAATTTGCATTTAATGGTAAATAAGCTGTAGAAATGATCTCGAAAAAATTATAGGACAAATGTAGTGGAAAATGTACTGGTTATCATTGTATTTTGATGGATATTAATATGCCTATAATGAGTGGTTGGGAAGCTGTATAAATAATTAGATAGATTGAATGCCAATTATAATTGATTAGAGCTATACCAGTGATTGCAGTCACAGCTTTTTGTAGTATTTCTGATTAAGAAAAAAGTATAAATGAAGGTTTTGATGGAGTCATTATTAAGCCAGCTACAAAAGAAAAAATCAAAACAGTTTTCGAAAATCTAAATCTATGATTAAAGAATTTGTATATGAATAAAATAATATAATAGTAAATCAAGATAAAGGTTTTTTTAATTCTTTTCTATTTGACATTTATGATGATCTTCTTTATGCCTATTCTAAAAGATTTAGCATTTATAATCCTGTTTCTTCTTCTTATTATCTATCTTTTGAACCAATTCCTTATTTTATTAATATAAATAAATACTTCTTTATTATTGTAAAGGTCTCAAAGGTTTTCTTTCTTATTTATCTAAAGTATCTCTCATTATTGATTATAATTCTTCATACTAGCTCTTTAATTTATTATATTTTTTTTCAGCAGCCTCATCTAATTCTTTATATTAAAGTTCTAAACTTTAAGCAACTTCAATTTATCTCTAGTATAATTGATTCATATCTTCATGATATTAATTTCTTAACTCAACTTCCTTTTATTCTATTTCTTCAATTAGCTTTTGTTCTTTTTAAGCTAAATTAAATTTCATCTAATCCATTTCTTATTACAATTGTTGATATTTTTATTTTTCTTAAAAAATTTCTATTTATAATTATTCCACTCTAATTTACTTCTCCTTTTTCAAAGCTTCATTATCCAAATCAAATTATTTTTTCTATTCTTATAATCTTTTTCTTAGAATTTCACAATTACTTCTTTCTACATCTAATTAATCACTTATTTTCTATAATTTTTAATCATATTATGTCTTTTATAATCTTAAAGATTATTCATTTTCTTATTTTTATTATTATAATTAATAAGTGAAAGTATCAGTCAATTATTTAATTTCTTTATGTTTTTATTCCTCAAATAATTATAATGTTTAATCTTTATCCATTAATGTTCTATTTTTCCATTATTCTAATTCTTAACATCTTAATTATTCCATCTTTTTAATCTCCTTTACATTTCTTTCTAATAATTGTGATTTTTCTCTCTAAAATTCACAAATTTATTGTTATAATTCTCTTTGTTGTTTACTCTTTTGATTACTGATTTCTTCAATATTTTAGATTTTAATATTCTAAATTTCATCTTACAAACCTTAGATTTCATCTTTCAACAATTTTACACATTTTTCTTTTTCCATCTCAGCTGCATGGGATTAGTAAGCTAGATCTTCTTTTAAAATCTTAATTTCCAACTCATATTATTATTTAAATCTAATATTATTCAATATAAACTACCTCTCCTTCTCTTGATTCATCTTATATTCAATTTCCTTTTATTTCACCGTAAGAATTTACTATATCTTTTATTCATCTTTCATCTATGATGATTTTGGCATCATATTCTCTTAATCTTTAAGTGTTCTTGAAAGACCCAAAGCAAGTTTATCTTCAAATCGATTAATCATTAAATTTAACAGTTAAAAAAATTAATATTTATTCTTAAAATAAATACTCCTTTTAACATCCTTGAATATAATGAATCAATTCATAAAATAATATATATATATTACTTTTTAGTTTATAATATATTCACTAATATTTCTATGGCTGAAAAGGTCTTCTATTTTCGAATTTACTCGAAAAACTAGTTTAGTTAATTGTCTAATAAATTGATCTCTCTATATTTTAATGTATCTATCCTCCTAATTCTTCTAATTGTAACTTTAATCTCTCAATATGTTCTTCCATTTATTTTCTTGTCTATTTATAATTAAATTATAAATCTTACTTCCTCTGATTAGTTCAGTTTTCTAGCCAAATCATCTTTTTCCTTTTCTAAATCCCTTTTCTCTTAAGAATTTATTTCTTGAATTTCAGCTATTTGATGAGCATAATGTTCTTTGACTTTTTAGACCTATTTTTATAAATCCATGCTTTCTGCTTGTAATTATTTTATAATCTAATCTTTTGATTATAATTCATTTCTTAATTTTTCTCTAACCTAATTAGTTTATTTAAATTATGCATCAAGCTCACTAATTTCTTACTTAAATCTTGTGTAATTTTGATCATATTCCATTTATTTTTATTTTAAGAGTCTTTCTTTATCAGCTAACTAGGATAAAGTATTATTATAATCTTTTGCTAATTTATCTCTTCCTTCTTCAGAGGCTTTTAATTTTTATTCTACATTTCTTAAATGTCCTAAATATTTTCTCATTTCCTCATCTTATACTCTGACTACAGTTTCTCTAATATTTTCTTCAGCTTCAAGTTTTATTCTCATATTTTCATTCATTAAATTAGTAATGTCTTGATTTAAATCTTAAATCTAAGTCTTAAAACTTTTAATTTATGCTTCTGCATCTTCTCTCTATATTTTGAATGTTTGGGTCATGTCTGATATTTTTTAATCATGGGATTTGATCAGTCTCTCAAATTCAATCCTATATTTATCATCATTTTCTTGTTATTTTCTTTCATAATTTTTTCATATACCTATTTAAAAACTTAATTCTGTCTTCATATTCTCTCAATCTCTAATTATATGATTCCTGTCCTCTTATAAATTCATTTCTCATAGCAAGGTTCTCTTATTCTAATGATTCGTTTCTCATCATAGTGTCTTATAATTTGTAACTATTTATCTTTAATTTATATACTCTAATTCTTATATGATATTTTCCTTTCTTTAAATATCATCTCTAAATGCTATGATCTTCGTTTCAAACTCTATCCTCATTTGTCTTTCATTTTCTAAGTTATTTTCTAATTGTTATCTCACATTTTTCATATTTTTTCTTTCTTCATCTAATCTAAACTCTAGCTCTGATAATGTTTATCCATTGGTTTGTAAATCATGTAGATTTCTATCATATCTCTGATTATAATCTCTTAAGTAATCATCTTAAGGCATTTATTAAGCATATGGGTTGCCATACCTGCTATTCATTTATTAAGACTGACTAGGTTATCCTTAATAACCGAAAGGCTTTTAAGGTTAGTAGTACTTTTAGGACATTCCTGCTTATGAATTATTATACATTTTTTTTAAAAATCTAACTGATTAATTAAACAATTTCTCGTCATTAATATGTAATTAATATTTTAGTTATGAATTAAAGAAATTTAGAAGATAAACCATCAGATCAATATGAGATGTCTTCTCCATTTCTTGATGATGGAATCAATAAATCTAACAGATAACCTTTGCTGATCATTAATGAAAAGAATGATTCTTTTCTATCAAGCTCTAATTAAATTAACACTCCTGGATTCAAAGGTACTTTTAATTCAGGGACTATTGATTATGGCTATGCATTATTGAATTAATTTGATGAAGGAGAAGAAATTGCTGGAAATAGAAATGGTCAAATTATGAAAAATGCTTAGTCCACCAATAGTTTGTATATATGTAAATACTATAAATATATTTATAGTTTATTAGAAACTTCCTGTTTTTCTTCCAAATTCTGTTGTTATGTTGATTTGGAAGGCTATCATAGCTGGTATCATTCTCCTTTATTTTTTTGTTGTACCAATCACAGTGTGCTATGGTAGTGAAGTTTGGGTATTTTAAACTATTAATTCAAGATTTTCTTACCTAGCACTAAGTTCATAATAGATACTCTATCTTTCATATTCTTGCTACTAGATATAGTTTTAGAATTTTTGACAGCTTTTTATGAGCATGGAAATTTAATTACAAATAAAGAAAGAATAGCCTATTAGTATTTAAGATTAAACTTTGCGCTTGATATTATTGGTGTTTTGGCTTTTGGTGTTTAATCATTTGTTAATGATGATTCAATTAATTTAATTTTGTTGTTATTTTATTTAAAATACCCCGCACTTATAAAAATAGATTATCTTTTTGAAGAAGCCACATTATTGTATAGAACAATAAGAACTATCTATAATGTAGGAAAGATTATTGTATTATTACAATTCTGCTTTTTGATGTTTTCCTGTATTTTTTATGTAATAGGAAAGGCTAGTGTTGAAGCAGGATATAATTCTTGGTTATTAAACAATGGTAATTTTGGAATTATAGGAGAACTGAATCCTGGATTTTAATTTTTCTTTTCATATTATTTTGGTTTAGGAACAATGACAACTACTATGGGATATGGTGATATAACTCCATTAAATGTTTTTGAATGCACATGGTGTCTTGGTGGTATATTTTTTGCTGTTTTCATATTTTAAGTTAATGTTAATTCATTATTTAAAATTATGGAAGAATTTAATGTTCATCCAATAAAGATATTCAAAAAAAGAATAGCTGTTAATAAATTTATGCAATCCAAATAAGTACCATTAGTAGTTTAAGAAAGAGTTAGAAGATATTTAAATGAACATTGGTATGAAGAAGGAACTAGAGATTTAACCTTAGAGCAAGAAGTTTTTGCAGAACTAGCACCTGAAATCAAAGAAGAATTATTTTATAATTCATATGGGAAAATGTTTTATTAAATTCCATTTATGTCAAAAACTTTCTCAAATGAATTTTTAAAATCACTTTCAATTAAAATTGAAGAAATTAGTTTTGCCTAAAATGAAATTATATTTTTAGATAATGTTGATTATCTATTGGATGATTATTCTATTTATTTTATAGATTATGGTTAAATTCTCATCTTTGCCAACACAGGAGAATAAAGACCATTTTGGATCAAATAATTAGAATCGTAAGAATATTTTGGTGAGTGGTCTTTTTTGACTGGTAGACCAAGATTAGCATCTGCCTCTTCTATTTCTTATAGCAGATTATATAAATTAAAGAGGGAAGTCTTTATAGATATTCTTGGATCTTTTTAGGATGATTTTGAAAAATATTGGATGATTCGAGATAAATTAATTTATTCAAATGACTTTAATGTAATAAATAGTCTTTGTTGGAATTGTGAATCTAATTCTCATTACTCAACAAAATGTCCTGTAACTCATTATTTACCTCAATTAACTAAGGTATATATTTAGTTTATTTATAGGAATTAACAAACAATTTATAGAATGAATAACAACGTAGTTATTATCAAAGAAAATAGAAATAAAGATGGCACACTATTATAAGATCATCTTATCAGTCATAATAATCAGAGAGTTTTAGATTAAAAGAATAAGTAAAAATTCATTAAATTTTAGAATTAAGACAAATAGGTATTGTAACCGAACATCTCTACATAGCAACAATAGGATCAATAATCATAGAAATAAAAGTAAATATTTGATAAACCATACTAATTTAAACATTACTTTCCTTAATAAAATTACCATAAAATTTAAGCCTTTCAGAATTAAATAGCTATTTCAAAAATTGTCAATAATCGAAAATCTGCTTTGTTTATTCCAAGTACAGCATATCGTCAAACAAAACAATCTGCAATTTTTGTTTGGCCAAAATAGAGTTGAAGTTTATTAAAATTTAATTATGATAAAATCATTTGGTTACCTAGTATGTGGAGCTGTTATGATTCCATCAATTACGTATCTCAAAGATTAAAGCTAGATTGGCAGGTTCTACTGTGTATCTTTATCCTGAATTTCGAACAAATCCGGCATAATTTTGGCTTGCATTTTAAAGAGTTTATAGAGTTGTAAAAGCTGGAACTAATATGGCTTTAGCATACCTTACACAACCAGATCAACCAATGGATGATAAACACTACTATGGTGCTCTTTAACTTAGATAAGCCTTCTAGTAGAATAAAGGCTTATACATCAAATTTGGATAGATTTTAGGATCTGTATATCATTAAAATATTCTTAGCTTGACATTATAATACCAGAGCCTTATAGAGCAACCTTTGAGGTTATGTGCACTTAAAATATTGAAACACCTTTCGATGATATTGAGAGATAGATTTAAGTTTCCACAGGTAAAAAAATAGAGGAACTATTTTAAACTTTTTCAAAGAAACCTATCTCATCTGCTTCAATAGCATAAGTGCATTAAGCATTTTTAAAGGATGGCAGAGAAGTTGCAGTAAAAATTTAGCATCCTTGGTTGAAAGAATAAATTGATGGGGATGTTAAATTAATCAGCCTATTTACAGATGTAGCAGAATTTATTTTTAAAGGTTTTAAATATAAATGGTTGGCTGAAGAATTATAGGTAAATTTACCAAAAGAGCTTGATTTTCATGGAGAAATTAATAATGCTAAAAGAATTAAAGAAATTCTTAAACCTTTTCCTGATATTTATATACCAAAAGTTTATGAAGAATATTGTAATGATAGGATGATTGTAATGGAGTTTATTCATGGCACTCCTCTCTCTGATATTTTGAGAGAAAAAGAGAAACATGATTTCAATTATCCTAAAATAGCTCATACTATTTCAACTGCTTTTGCTCATTAAATATTCAAGCATGGATTTGTACATTCAGATCCTCATAAAGGTAATATTATGGTTAGAAAATTAAATGGAAAATAACAAGTAGTATTATTAGATCATGGACTTTACACAACATTAACTGAAAAAACTAGACTAAGTTATTCACTTTTATGGCAAGGAATTTTAGAAATGAATTTAGATTATATAAAATAAGCAACTAATGATTTAGGAGCTGCTTAAAATTATAAATTATTTGCTTCTATGGTTACGAGCAAAAGATTTTCAGATTTGATGAATACTTCAATGAATATGTAGGATAGATTAAAAAGACCAAAAGATTAAGATGAAATTGCTATATTGATTTAAAAGGCAGCTAAAAAACATAAACAAATAACAATAATATTAAATTAGATTGATAGGTAATTATATTATTTTGAATGTAGAAAACTTTTAATGTTATTTAAAATAAATGATTTTCTAAAAAATATTGAATTCAGATTAGGAAACCCAATTGATAGTTGTTAAATCACATATAAATATGTATCTATGGTGAATTATGAAGATAAAGTTAAAAAGCAAAATATATTTAGAAGAATGATGTATAAATTCAGACTCTTGTTGCATAAAGCAAAATTCGAAATTTTAAGTATTGTTATGAGTATTATTATGTGAAAATGTGTATGACATATTAAGAATATTTTATTAAATTTAATTATGAATATTGAGTGGAAATTATAGAATATTGTCAAAGCTGTAGGTACGACTTTCTTATAATATATGAGGGTTCTTTTGTTTATTCACTATGCCTCCATATGCTTTCTATTGGAAATATAGTTCAATGAGTAATCATAATATTTATATGATAGAATCATTTGAAAAAGGAATCCACAATGACTTTAAAAGAGTACATAGTAAAGGAAAAACTTTAGCTGATATTCCAAAAAAAGAAAAAATATGATATTTCTCATTCTATTTCAATAAATTATAAAATTGTTCACTTTTTTAATATCTCTTTGCTTAGTGCTAATTTTTTCATTATTATTTTGATGAACATAATATTTTAACAGTTAAACAAAAATTGTTGACATATAACCTTGTTTATATTTATAATATCAATTTTAATTATAATTCAATAAAAATGGATGAAGCATAGAAAAATTATCTAAATTTATTGAAGAAGACATTCGAAAAAAGGCAAGAGTTTATTAGATATGACGTTGTGCTATTTTAACAATTCAGAAATAAATTGACTGTTCACAGCGCAGCGATCTCAAGGAATTCTGAAATGCTTGTGTGTGGTTGTAGCAAGGTGTGTTGTATCTTATAATTATAATAATAGAGTATCATAATCTTATATGACCTTATATCTAAGTAAGCTATTAAGGCAACAAATAAAAAGCAATTGTAATTTAGAAAACATCAAATAGTAACTGTTGCATTTTCGAATTGTTATGATTATATTATTGCAGGTAAAAATTAATACAATTTAGGAAATACTATGGGGGATTTGCTAATTTATGAAATTTCAATTGACATTTAAAATTAGAAATTTGATTTAGATCTTATGAGATTTGTACCATAATATCATGAAAAAGCATTATAAATAATATTTCATTCAAGCATTGATCATTTATTAACAATAAGCAGTGACAAACTTAGAGTTACAATGATAAGCGAGTTTATACAGAATGAAAACATTGATTAATCTTAACATCAGATTTGTCAAAATTTAGGAGGAGCAACAACTTCAAAATTGTCATATTATAATAATCATTATTATTTATACATAGGAATGAGAAATAACAAAATAGTATAAATTAGATCATGTATTTAAACTTATAATTAATTTAGCACAACTTTATTCAAAACCTAAAAATGAAACATTTGTTTACTAGATAAATAGTTTTAGTTCTGTGATTAGTAAACTTGAAGTATCAAATGATTAGACTCTGTTAGCAATCGGCTACCAAAGTGGATAATAGGAATAAGGAAACTTATAGATAGTTTATTTAAAATAGGGAAAATAAATATTTTCATAAAATGGAATTACAAAATTAAAAATAAGTTAATTGTTATTCTTTAATTCAAATTCTCACTTATGCATTAGTTCTTGGGATGGAACCTTTCATATTTTGGACATCAAAAGTAAACAAATTTTATAAACATACTCTCATGTAATGCATGAATAAGGAGTGATAACCTTCTTTCCTTTAACAGAAGTATCTGAGTTTCCAAATCTTATATCTATTGGATAGGATCATCAAATTAAAAAATATTATTTCGGAAAAATAAAAGAATAATTATTCGAATATATTCCTTTCATATTTTGGGTTGAGTAAAGAATAAGACAAGAATTATAATTCTAAAGTGAATTACATAATTATTAAAAGTTACTTTATATAGAAAGTATGGGAGTAGATAGTGTTAAAATGAGAGAATTAAATTAAAGTATTTTTGGATTTGAAAAATTCGATCCTCTAATAAAACGAATTATAGATTATACAGAATATAAAGAAAGAGCATTCAATTTATACAAAAGATATGAATTAGAAATGTAACAAACAATGGCTTCTTAAATATAACGACCTCATAAATTACCTCCTTTAGATATACAATAAAAAAATCCATAAATTGATGTTCCTGAAAATCTTATTCAAAGTGGAATTTTAGTTAATCCAATATAATTTCAAGAACCTTTGAAATTATTTTCAGAATATTTTTCATTCACCTTTAAAAGAATAAGTGATACTATTGTATTTGAAAGAATTAAATTGATGGTTTTATAAAAATGCAATTTCATATTTGATGAGAAATACCCTTTCAAATAACATTTATTCTCGAATCTAAAAAGAATGAAAAATTTAAAATACCTAGATCTATCCTATAACTCATTGTACTTAGAAGATGTATTATAAATTTTAGATCAACTAAAAAATGTAACTTTATTGGATTTTTTAAGTTTGGCCCATAATAATTTAGGAGATAGTTCAACAGTTAAATTCAATAACTCTGACGCAATTATGAGGCTTTTAGATGAAGTTGAGGCAATTTCTTTAAGGTCAAATAATTTATCAGATATAGATGGAGAAGCTATTTTGAATTAAATAAAACATGTAAGAATATTTAACATATTAAATAGTTTAAAAAGTTAAAAATATTAGATGTTTCTGGTAATTTATCTTTTAAATATAAGACCTTATAGGCTTTATAGAGAATAACAATTTTGTCAAATAAAATTGAATTTTCTTCATAAAGAAATGATTTTCTAAATTTCTTAAATAATATTAAACTTCTATAAGAAAATGAATAATAACAAGAACTTGAGGATTAAGTAAAATCATAGGATAAGTAAAGTAATTTAGGGGAAAATGAAAAGTTAATTGAAAATCTACCTGATTAGTAACCTTCTTAGACTTTGGATAGATCCGCTTCAATATCTAGTTCTGGTAATTATATGTCCTTACAATTATTATGTATTTAATTTTAGAAAGAAGTTTGTGAATAAGCAATGAAAACAGCAACAGATTTTTTGGTTTAAAGAAAAATAACAAATTTATATATATATGTTGTTGATAATAAAGAGGATGATGTGTGGGAGACATCTATATCAATATATTATACTAGAGGGCTGAAAAAGTTAAATGATTATATTTTTGGTTGCATAGGAGGAGCTATTTTGGTGGTATTATCATGTTTTGTAGGAATTTATTAAAATATCAGACAAGAAGGTTTTTATTGTATTAGAAGAATATTTTGTACAAATTATTTTCTTTGGAAATATTTAGCTTGTGGATTTTGTACTGTATTAACTACATCTTTTGGAAAGTTTATTGTTAAATTANATTTTTGGATTTGAAAAATTCGATCCTCTAATAAAACGAATTATAGATTATACAGAATATAAAGAAAGAGCATTCAATTTATACAAAAGATATGAATTAGAAATGTAACAAACAATGGCTTCTTAAATATAACGACCTCATAAATTACCTCCTTTAGATATACAATAAAAAAATCCATAAATTGATGTTCCTGAAAATCTTATTCAAAGTGGAATTTTAGTTAATCCAATATAATTTCAAGAACCTTTGAAATTATTTTCAGAATATTTTTCATTCACCTTTAAAAGAATAAGTGATACTATTGTATTTGAAAGAATTAAATTGATGGTTTTATAAAAATGCAATTTCATATTTGATGAGAAATACCCTTTCAAATAACATTTATTCTCGAATCTAAAAAGAATGAAAAATTTAAAATACCTAGATCTATCCTATAACTCATTGTACTTAGAAGATGTATTATAAATTTTAGATCAACTAAAAAATGTAACTTTATTGGATTTTTTAAGTTTGGCCCATAATAATTTAGGAGATAGTTCAACAGTTAAATTCAATAACTCTGACGCAATTATGAGGCTTTTAGATGAAGTTGAGGCAATTTCTTTAAGGTCAAATAATTTATCAGATATAGATGGAGAAGCTATTTTGAATTAAATAAAACATGTAAGAATATTTAACATATTAAATAGTTTAAAAAGTTAAAAATATTAGATGTTTCTGGTAATTTATCTTTTAAATATAAGACCTTATAGGCTTTATAGAGAATAACAATTTTGTCAAATAAAATTGAATTTTCTTCATAAAGAAATGATTTTCTAAATTTCTTAAATAATATTAAACTTCTATAAGAAAATGAATAATAACAAGAACTTGAGGATTAAGTAAAATCATAGGATAAGTAAAGTAATTTAGGGGAAAATGAAAAGTTAATTGAAAATCTACCTGATTAGTAACCTTCTTAGACTTTGGATAGATCCGCTTCAATATCTAGTTCTGGTAATTATATGTCCTTACAATTATTATGTATTTAATTTTAGAAAGAAGTTTGTGAATAAGCAATGAAAACAGCAACAGATTTTTTGGTTTAAAGAAAAATAACAAATTTATATATATATGTTGTTGATAATAAAGAGGATGATGTGTGGGAGACATCTATATCAATATATTATACTAGAGGGCTGAAAAAGTTAAATGATTATATTTTTGGTTGCATAGGAGGAGCTATTTTGGTGGTATTATCATGTTTTGTAGGAATTTATTAAAATATCAGACAAGAAGGTTTTTATTGTATTAGAAGAATATTTTGTACAAATTATTTTCTTTGGAAATATTTAGCTTGTGGATTTTGTACTGTATTAACTACATCTTTTGGAAAGTTTATTGTTAAATTATTTGGTGTAGAATAATCATACTTTGAGTACAATCCTAAAATTATAAATTTAGAATAAGAATTAAGAAATATCAGATATATAGGATTTATACTTTTTGCAATCTATTTTGTCAGCTATTATTTTGTTGTTGTCTTTTTACCAATAATATTTGTTAATACTTGTTAAGGTTAACAATGGTTAGGTCATTTGATTTATATTGCTTTTGCTTGTTATTCTTTTCTTGTAGAAGGGTATCTTGGTTTAACAATCAGTAATCTAAAAGTTACTACTAATGAATATACTGATGGTAGCATATTGGCAAGATATTTTTATATAATTAAGGATTTACTAATTAGTCAGTTAACTAAATTTGAATTGTATACATGCATTTGTTTTATTGTATTAGTAAATTCTTGTTAAATATCTGTTGCCATAGCTTGGATTGGAGTTGGAATAATTTGTTTTAATTTACTATTAGATTTAGCTTTGATTGTGAGATATTTATTGGTTCCTTGCATAAATCAGAAAAAACCTTCATATATAGATATATTTACGTAGTTTTCAACTCTTTATTAAATGAATATTGTTACAAATTTACTTGAAAAATGGTCTGAATAAAATACAATTTATATATTTTTCTTAAAATCAGATGTACCACAAAAAGTTGTAGTTTCGATTATTAAAACTTTTATTCAAGACACTCCATTACTTATTTTATAAGCAGTATACTTAGGTATGAACCCAACTCAAATAAAAATTTAAACTTTTGTTGTTTCTTTTACAACAGTGATCATTCATTTTATTTTTTCTATGATTAAAATGTTGTCAATTACTCGAGCTGCTAAAATTAATGAAGAAATTGTATTAACAGAAGTTTCAAAAGCTAAATTTCCTAATAAATAAATTAAAATATTTAAAGAATTAAAAAAATTTATTAGAAATCTAAAAAAAAAGTTTTAAACTTTAATTTATGAACATAATTAAAGAAGTGAAAATTTAATTACTTCATTAGTAGATGCAGAAAAAGCACTTCTTAACAGACCTCATACTATGTAAAATTTTGAATTATATCAAAAATAAAAGAGCTCTAAGATCCTTCCTGCTAGAAAGGGAATAACTTAAATAGGAAATAAAATTTAAAGAATAAATGTTTCAAAAAATTCGAAGGTAAATTAAGAAGAGCTTCAGAAATTAATCTCGGTAAAAGCCTCACTTGATATATTTGGAAATAAGGTTAAAAGTTGGAAGATTAACAATGAAATACCACTTGATGTAACTGATGTTTTATTAAATGATGTTCCTAGATAATTTTTTACAATCGATTTAGATTGGGAAGCAACTTAACCTTGGGTAGGGAATATGAGAATATCTTCTTTGAAATAAGAAATAGAAGGTTTTAAGTTGGCCTATCTTCACTTTTAAAATTTAGAAAATTTAAATATTTTGGATCTGGGTTTTGGTTCTGGATATGTTTCTTTATTTTTATTGGCACTAGCACTAAAAAGGAAAAAGGTGTTTTAAATTCAATTACATTTAGTTGATCATCATCCTGATGCTATCAAATTTTTTGAACAGAAATTAAATACCGAATTTTCACATTTAAATAAAATGTGTAAAATTTAATACTATTTACATGATTGCTTTGATGGACTTAACTTGTTTTAAGATAAAAAATTTAACTTTATACATCTAGGCTACGCGACAACTAAATGGAGAATAAATAAAGATATTATTCCATTACTTTCAGAAGATGGATTGATTTTTGGTTATGAAATAGTCAGTAGTTTAGAATAAAAAGCGTTTTCATGGAGTTAAACTCAAAAATAAATGGTTTATTCTTAAAATTTAGAATAATATGGAATTATGGAACCACTTACAATACAATTAAAAGGAATTGATTAGTCTATTTTAGAAAATTAAATTAAGTAGAAATTAGATATTTTAAAATATATAAAGTTGTATGATTAATGTGGTTTATGTGAAAAATAGCTGACTAAAGAAGATAAGTAATTTATTAATCATTACTGGGGGGAAGGCTTATGCATGTCTTGTGCAAATGAGCAATTAGAATAATAGGGCGAAGAAATTGATATAGCCAAAATTAATTATAGATCTAACATAATCTACTACACAGGCAGTAATTGCAAATTATCATAGATAAAGCAAACTTCTATTTTGTTAGAAAACTTAACTTACCCATTTGGTCATAAAGTGGGAACAATTAGAGAGTATTCAAATGTTTGTTCATCTTGTAATTCTAAAAGAGNTTAAAGAATTAAAAAAATTTATTAGAAATCTAAAAAAAAAGTTTTAAACTTTAATTTATGAACATAATTAAAGAAGTGAAAATTTAATTACTTCATTAGTAGATGCAGAAAAAGCACTTCTTAACAGACCTCATACTATGTAAAATTTTGAATTATATCAAAAATAAAAGAGCTCTAAGATCCTTCCTGCTAGAAAGGGAATAACTTAAATAGGAAATAAAATTTAAAGAATAAATGTTTCAAAAAATTCGAAGGTAAATTAAGAAGAGCTTCAGAAATTAATCTCGGTAAAAGCCTCACTTGATATATTTGGAAATAAGGTTAAAAGTTGGAAGATTAACAATGAAATACCACTTGATGTAACTGATGTTTTATTAAATGATGTTCCTAGATAATTTTTTACAATCGATTTAGATTGGGAAGCAACTTAACCTTGGGTAGGGAATATGAGAATATCTTCTTTGAAATAAGAAATAGAAGGTTTTAAGTTGGCCTATCTTCACTTTTAAAATTTAGAAAATTTAAATATTTTGGATCTGGGTTTTGGTTCTGGATATGTTTCTTTATTTTTATTGGCACTAGCACTAAAAAGGAAAAAGGTGTTTTAAATTCAATTACATTTAGTTGATCATCATCCTGATGCTATCAAATTTTTTGAACAGAAATTAAATACCGAATTTTCACATTTAAATAAAATGTGTAAAATTTAATACTATTTACATGATTGCTTTGATGGACTTAACTTGTTTTAAGATAAAAAATTTAACTTTATACATCTAGGCTACGCGACAACTAAATGGAGAATAAATAAAGATATTATTCCATTACTTTCAGAAGATGGATTGATTTTTGGTTATGAAATAGTCAGTAGTTTAGAATAAAAAGCGTTTTCATGGAGTTAAACTCAAAAATAAATGGTTTATTCTTAAAATTTAGAATAATATGGAATTATGGAACCACTTACAATACAATTAAAAGGAATTGATTAGTCTATTTTAGAAAATTAAATTAAGTAGAAATTAGATATTTTAAAATATATAAAGTTGTATGATTAATGTGGTTTATGTGAAAAATAGCTGACTAAAGAAGATAAGTAATTTATTAATCATTACTGGGGGGAAGGCTTATGCATGTCTTGTGCAAATGAGCAATTAGAATAATAGGGCGAAGAAATTGATATAGCCAAAATTAATTATAGATCTAACATAATCTACTACACAGGCAGTAATTGCAAATTATCATAGATAAAGCAAACTTCTATTTTGTTAGAAAACTTAACTTACCCATTTGGTCATAAAGTGGGAACAATTAGAGAGTATTCAAATGTTTGTTCATCTTGTAATTCTAAAAGAGGATTTGGATTTTTATACAAATGTTTAATCTGTGATTCTGTACAATATTGCAACACTTGTGGATTATAATTAATGAGAGATAATCAAATGAAGTATCATTCTGCTTGTAGTCAAGATCATCCTCTATTAAGAATAGTTTTTCCATAGAAGACACAAAAGGGAAAAAAGTGAATTATAAATTTATTTATAAATTTGTTATTTAGTCGATTTATTTGCTTTCATCACCTCACTCATAGCCTCAACACCAGCCAATCACAAGTATTTATTTTGGGTCTTAGTCCGATATTTTCTAGATCTTCAAATTGAAATTTAAAAATTGATTAATTTTAGTATATGTTCAATATATAAATAATGATTAATCCCATTAAAACAGTTAAATCCATTAAAATATTATTGATATAAATGTACTTTTCATAATTTAAAATTATTCGAAACAAGCAAAATGACAGCATATTCTATATAGATTAACTTGTTAATTATATATTATTAGATGTTTAATTTACAAATTATGATATTTTCCATATATATCAGTATTTCTAAGTAATAGAAAAATTTAATTAATAATATATTGTACAATATGTGATCTTTTTCTTTGCATAAGATTTATACTTCATTTCTTAATACACAATAATATAAATGGATAAAAATTATTAATTTCAATAAATTATACTACATTCGATATTAACTCAAAATATAAGGATTATTTAGTAAAGACTTCGATTACATACTTTCATAGTTCTTGCGAATGTATAGTAAATGAGTTTATAATGATTTAAGATGATAAATAAGTTAAAAAATATCTTTAAGAATTAATAGATAATCTTACCAAATAAAATAATCTGTTTTGCATACTCTTTCTATGATCAATTATCTTTTTAGATTAACATCATCTATTCATATTCAGTGAGTAAAATAAGAACATTCTTCGAAATTGTCTTACTTTATTCTTCCAAACACCAATTCGAATAGATTTAAAATTAATATAATGCATAAGAATTAATGGTACATTTGTTAAACTAACTCATAAAATCTTTTAGGATTAGATTGTAAAAAGCTCAGATTTATCAAAAAAGAGTATTAGATTCGTGAATGAGCCTCAATAAGATTTGAAAAATTTTTTAATAAAAAACTTTCTCAAATTTTGTATAATATTCTCAAGTAGCTTTAAGGAAAAAGAGTGAAAAAGAATATTTATAGGATTGAAGCAGGAAAAAAAAACTGCTGAATAAAATTAAAATTTAGCCAATATATTTTACTTAACTAAAATTCCTGTAATTAATTATGACTTTGTTAAATACTGATAATCATATTTTATGCCAAAGGAACCAAAAAATTCTTTAGATAATAAAGAAATCAACATCTTGCTAATTAGCTTTGGAAAAGGCAATTTTAGTAAAGATACATAATATTTTCGTTTCAATTTAAATTCCTTTTTTGCATACCCTTGACAACCTTGATCATTTTACATTTTTGATGCAATTTCAAATAAAATAAGTCTTATAAACATGATCCTAATTTAATAAAAAGAGATATTAGTTTTTTTTACAAAAAATTTTAGAAAAGTAAATCATGTTTTCAGATAAGAATACATAATTTAATCTATCAAAATTAATAGATATTCTTAATCATTTATTTGATTATTTAACTTTGGTATGGGTAACAGTTGATTCATTTAGTAAAGTAAAGACAGGCATAATGCAACAGGATTCACTAAAGGTTCATTTGATGGTTCCTAAAGTGGATGTGCATTTGTTGGAAAAGATAATTGTGAAATGTGTAGATCCAGAAATAGCAATTTACAGTGATTATTATAGTGTTTCATCTCTCTGTAAAGGAAGAAAAATCAAAGAACTAAGGTGACAAATATTTTTATGGTGCTATGGCAGTAATTCCATGTTCATCATAATCAAAAACAGTGAAACATATATCAATTTTTCAGGTTATAAACAGCAAATCCTTAATGATAATTCACAAATGAGTTAATAAATTTCATACGTGCGCCTTTGCAACAGATGCATTAGCCTATAGAGATTTTGATTGCCTTGAAATCCAACTTCAAAAATTTTCATTTAGGAGCTTCTGGAAAGACTTGCACAAAACCTGTTTTAATAGAACTGATAGATGTTCTAAAATTCCAGTATCAGGAACAGATAAGAAATTATAATCGCAGCTTGTAAAATTATGATGTAAAATAAGCAACAAGTAAGTCAACTAATTGGAATTCATTAACAGATGGCTCAGTTAAAACGCAGGCAATAATCAATTAAAACCAGAAGTGGTAGTGAAGAACCTTAAAGCAAGAGTTTGAAAGATGCTGCTAGAAAAATATAGAGCCGTGCTGATGATGATAATGATGAAACTTTATGTACAAATGATGTCTTAGGGTGCATATACCACCAAACCAAATTTATGGAAAAGACTACTTGTGTCACTGCAGGTTTATCTAATAATACTGAAAAAGAAGCATTGTGTGAAGGAGCAAAAAGAAACAATAAATGTAATTTGAACTTTATTTAATGTGCAGAAAGAGCATGAAATGATCTAACTTTTAAACTACTAATGATTTTAAAAGTTATTAGAAAACTTATAAGTCTATGGTTAAAAAAGTGTGTTTGAAACTTAAGTTTACAGATGACTAGAGATTTTGTGAAGATTTCTTAAGTAATACAGCTAAAAGATTATTGTAAATTGAATAGTGTAGCTGATGTATCAGGTGCTTGCTAAATTAGAACATGTTATGATAACGAGCCTGCTTAATCTGATTGTGATTGCTAAGCTTGAACGAAAGGATATGTGACCAGAAGTAACGGATGCATTACAAGAGACTATAGAGGAACTAAATCATAACATGAAGCCTTTAAATAATTTTTTTCACTAAACTAGATGTTGATATTTATATTTAGATTACACTTTATTAAATTTACTGCGCATTCTATGTTCTGGAGATGCTACTAATACTGAGATAAGTAAATGCAAAGATAGAAAATGTTCAGACAATACCATCACCATTTCAAATGATGAATGCTAAGTTTATTTGAATGATTGTGTAATTAAAGGAATTGTATGTGTTGAAAATAAAACGCTGATAGTTCAGCATACAAAGGAACAAGTGGAGTATATTATTACTACAATATCAGTAATATTACAGAAACATCTTCTTGTTAATAGAAGAAATAATCAGATATTACAGGTACCGATGATAACATATGCAGTGATGGAATGAAAGGAACATATAACAAAGATGATACATATTCTTTTTCAAATATATTGCAAATAACTGGGCATGCAAGGCAACCATTGTTGGAAGTTGTGCCTAAAGAGTTTGTATAGTAGCTCCAAATACCGATAAAAATGACAAGGAATGCTAAGATTTATTTTAATACTGGTAAGTGAAACATATCAATCTATTTGAGGTTATCATTAATAATATATGAAGTTCAAGACAAAAAGTATTCAGAAACAGGTAATGTATGATCAACAATGTGAGATCTATCTGCAACTAAACACTCATAAATAATTCAATTATTCTTACATAATTACTAGATAAAGCAGATTTTTCAGCTTTATTAGAGTTTCAAGCATTCATACCATTGATTACAGAAATATGCTAAAATTGTAACTTGACTGTGCTTATTGAGCCTGACTTTTTGAACGATATTTGAAAAACTTTAGGAGAAGAGAGAATTCTAAAATCAAACTTTTGATTAAAAAAATACTTTATGATGATTTACATATATATTCTTATTTGAATTCAATATGTATTTTCAATTTGGGAATCCTTTATATGCTCAAATTCTTATTGAAATTAATCGTTTGTAGAATCATCCAATCCTGCTATAATATTATTGATCTCATCAAAGCTAAAAAGATTTGCTAGTGACTTATTAACCAAACTCAGTTTTATTTATTCTCTATTGGATTTAACATTAAAAGTGATATTTGTTCCTAAAAAGCTTGATAATAGCACTTGTGCTTGTGTTTTGAGTTAAAAACTCAACCCTTTTAATTAAATTATTAACAAGTATGTTTTGTTTTTATAGGCGCGAGATTCTTCGATCCAAATTTTTATTTGCTAGTTCTTTGCCTAAAAGGCTGAATTTGGAAAATATTCAATACCAATCCCTTATTCAGCTAGACTCATTAAGCTGGTCACAATTGCATCTCCTAAAATAGAAAAATGTTCTTTAATAGCTTGATTTATCCTAAAATTTTTGTTTTTCTTTTTGTTTTGGTCAAGCTATAAGTTTTCTAAAGTGATCTCTTGAATAGCACTTTTTTTAATTGAAGAGTCCAACTATTAATTTTCTTCGTTAATTAAAGTAATTCTAGCAAAACCGCTGCCATTGCTAACTCCTAACCCAAGATCTGAAAACTCTCCATTTAAAATACGATAATAGGGAGAAAACTCTTTATGATAAACAAAGACTGATTCAACTCCAAAAATTTCTTTTCCGTTTAAAAAAAAAGGTAACTCTCGAATAAAGTAATCCATTGCAAAATTGATATTAAGCTTTTTTTAGTTCTGATTCATTATGTTGAGTATCTTAGAAAGAGTGAATTCTTGGAAAAATGAGTTTAAAGTGGAGCTTTTGTTTGCTGCTTCTTATAAGATTTAAACAGAATTTAAATAAGCTTGATTATTGTAAAAATCTTCAACTTTTGAGATTAAAAATTTTTCTTATGATTATAGATTTGCTCCTTTTTTGCGTAAATCAGACCATATTTTTTCCATCTCTAAATCATTTAAAGGGTTTTTTTCTTATAACACCGATTTTATTGCCATCTTTACATTCTTGTTAAAAGCTTTTTCTTATTTTTTAACCTTTTCATTTTGTTTCTAAATGTCTATTCCTTGAGATGTGAGTGTTTTTCTCCATAATTCAGTAAAGTCTAGAATAGTTACTTTAGAGAAATTGTTATATGCCCACTTTAGTAAAATTTAAACTCTTTCAAAATTAAAGTANACACTCATAAATAATTCAATTATTCTTACATAATTACTAGATAAAGCAGATTTTTCAGCTTTATTAGAGTTTCAAGCATTCATACCATTGATTACAGAAATATGCTAAAATTGTAACTTGACTGTGCTTATTGAGCCTGACTTTTTGAACGATATTTGAAAAACTTTAGGAGAAGAGAGAATTCTAAAATCAAACTTTTGATTAAAAAAATACTTTATGATGATTTACATATATATTCTTATTTGAATTCAATATGTATTTTCAATTTGGGAATCCTTTATATGCTCAAATTCTTATTGAAATTAATCGTTTGTAGAATCATCCAATCCTGCTATAATATTATTGATCTCATCAAAGCTAAAAAGATTTGCTAGTGACTTATTAACCAAACTCAGTTTTATTTATTCTCTATTGGATTTAACATTAAAAGTGATATTTGTTCCTAAAAAGCTTGATAATAGCACTTGTGCTTGTGTTTTGAGTTAAAAACTCAACCCTTTTAATTAAATTATTAACAAGTATGTTTTGTTTTTATAGGCGCGAGATTCTTCGATCCAAATTTTTATTTGCTAGTTCTTTGCCTAAAAGGCTGAATTTGGAAAATATTCAATACCAATCCCTTATTCAGCTAGACTCATTAAGCTGGTCACAATTGCATCTCCTAAAATAGAAAAATGTTCTTTAATAGCTTGATTTATCCTAAAATTTTTGTTTTTCTTTTTGTTTTGGTCAAGCTATAAGTTTTCTAAAGTGATCTCTTGAATAGCACTTTTTTTAATTGAAGAGTCCAACTATTAATTTTCTTCGTTAATTAAAGTAATTCTAGCAAAACCGCTGCCATTGCTAACTCCTAACCCAAGATCTGAAAACTCTCCATTTAAAATACGATAATAGGGAGAAAACTCTTTATGATAAACAAAGACTGATTCAACTCCAAAAATTTCTTTTCCGTTTAAAAAAAAAGGTAACTCTCGAATAAAGTAATCCATTGCAAAATTGATATTAAGCTTTTTTTAGTTCTGATTCATTATGTTGAGTATCTTAGAAAGAGTGAATTCTTGGAAAAATGAGTTTAAAGTGGAGCTTTTGTTTGCTGCTTCTTATAAGATTTAAACAGAATTTAAATAAGCTTGATTATTGTAAAAATCTTCAACTTTTGAGATTAAAAATTTTTCTTATGATTATAGATTTGCTCCTTTTTTGCGTAAATCAGACCATATTTTTTCCATCTCTAAATCATTTAAAGGGTTTTTTTCTTATAACACCGATTTTATTGCCATCTTTACATTCTTGTTAAAAGCTTTTTCTTATTTTTTAACCTTTTCATTTTGTTTCTAAATGTCTATTCCTTGAGATGTGAGTGTTTTTCTCCATAATTCAGTAAAGTCTAGAATAGTTACTTTAGAGAAATTGTTATATGCCCACTTTAGTAAAATTTAAACTCTTTCAAAATTAAAGTAACTATTAGCAGGACTTATAGCAATGATAATGTTTTCTTTTTTATCATAAGCCACTCTGGCATGATCATCGATAAAGGCTTCTTTCAAATATAGCTTTAGATCTTCAATATTCAAGGTATTTGGAGTGAAGGCTTGTAAATTTGTTTCATTTGAATTCAATTAACCCAGCATTGATTTTTAAATTAAATCATTAAGAAAAAATGATTCGAATTTTAATAACATATTCAGAATCAATCAGAAACAGATATTTTTTATTCTTAATATCGTATTATTTTAAGTAATTATGGGATTTTATCGATGTGAGTAGAGAAGAGAAAATGCATCTACTCTTCAAGTAAGATTGATATTGACATAAGAATGGCTAATAAGTGGAGTCCTTTGATTTTTTATCCTCAACAGTTTTTTTTTATTTATTGGGTAATAATATTTTTAGGAAGGAAGAGTTTAATTGTTAATTACACAACCAATAAATTTTTAATACACTCTAAATAAGAGGAAATTTTTTACCATATAA